TGTGTTTTCTTTTTATCTTCTGGGATCTGAGATCTGCTTATTGTACTCTTCTCTTCTCAGACTCAGGTGCTGAGATCTTATCTTCTGGAATCTTGGATCTGCTCACTTAGGTTGAGCTCTCGTCTTCTCAGGCCTACTTGTCTAGGTTGAGATCATGTCTTCTGGGATCTGGGATTCGGGATTTGCTCACTCAGGTTGAGCTCTTCTATATTTGAATGTTATCTTCTTGGGAGCGCTTATGCCCCTTGTCTTTGCATCCCTTCTGGAAGGGTCTTCGTTCCTCCGCAGGTATCTATCTTTCCATACCTGGAGGTCATCTTTGTTGCTTCGATCTGTTGTCTTTGGTGCGTCACCTTCTTGGCCGGCTTCTTTCACTCCGTGACTCTGGTCATGAGTTTCTATGTTGCTATTGTCCCCTTCAACGTCGAGGTTGATAGATCTCCTATTCCCAGCAAGAGCGTTGTCTCCAGTCTGATCCTTCTATCCGTCATTGGCCATCTATTCTTCTTTCTTTCCCACAGACGGCGCCAAATTGTGTGGGTGATTTTCTGACCACACTGCTCGCTTAGTAACCAGCTGGAGAGCACTGGCAGAATAGATGGCACCTGACTGACCTGCAACAGAAATATAAGAATCCCACGGTGGTTTCGACCACCCGGGGGCACTCCGACAATCAAGTCAGTATATCTCTCAAAGATAAATCAAGTACTAAACTCACAAGCTTAAGTATCAAAAAGCATACTTTAGACCCATGTGGGTGCCTCTCTTTTATGGTCAACATAAACCTAGTTCCAATAGAAGCCTAACTTCTATGGACTCAGGATTACTGCTAATCTTGGACTCCCAGTAAGATTAGGATAAACTCTCTAAGAGTCTTATCTTAATACAAACTGAAGTCTTCTCTCATTCTAGGACTCTTGTCCCTCATCCAGGTTGAGTTTCCTTTATCCACTTATCTCGGATTTTGATATCTTCGGAGAAAACCTCGGCCTTGCCAAGATTACCTCGGCATCACGACCAGGACACGTGGCACCTCGGCTAACACGTCGGTGTCACCTTGCCACGTGTTGGTACTCAGAAAATATATCCCCACATGTACATATTATGAGTTAGGGTAATAATTGGAATATTTGGTGTGTGGAATGACAATAATAATATATAATCAAATTCATAAGTGTGCAAACTCAGATATGATGTGTGTAGAGATTAAAGGTGTGTGAAAATAGAATTTCCCATAATTATTTCGCGATCCTTTCAGTTCTAATTAAGACACCCACTATTATTCCTTATAAATACAGTCATGTCATTGCGACATCATTCTAAACAAACTTTATGTATACAAATTATGTTTGTAAATCACTTTCCTATTTTGATTTGGGATTGAATGTATAAACAAAATCTATCTCCGTAATTGCAAGGCCCAAGTAAGTGACTAAATATCTATCGCCTATGTGCTAGAGGGTCTAGTAGAAGAAGACACCCATCTATCGACAAGCCAATAATCATGGAAAATTTCAATGGCGTCATAGTTACCTCGCCAAAGGATAGATAGAAGGAGTTGGTGTGTCCCACAACCGCTCAGCTAACGTATCCAACAGATTCATGTCACGACAGATGATGACAGAGAAAGAGCAAATTGACTGAATACTGAGCAATGACTTGCACTCGATGAGGAAGAGCTCAGTACCAAGAGTTGACATTTGCCAAGCTTCCATATCGTGTTATATAAATTGCCATCATACATAATGCTTACCAACTTTAAATCTAAGAATCAAGAAGATGATGAGTAGAGATTGACCTTGTGTCAGGCAAGATAGGTGTGTAAAACCTTCACATTTCGTACCTAAGTTCCTAAGCCAAGGTCTTTGGTTATGATGGACTAGTTTCTTAAAGGTTGGAGTCAATATGGGTTCTTGGACCTAAAATCAAGTGGTGGCTCTGGTTTTGAAACCTTTGCCAAGAGTTGACATTTGCCAAGCTTCCATATAGTGTTATATAAATTGCCATCATGCATAATGCTTACCAACTTTAAATCTAATGAGTAGAGATTGACCTTGTGTTAGGCAAGATGGGTGTGTAAAACCTTCACATTTCGTACCTAAGCTCTTAAGCCAAGTTCTTTGGTTATGACAGACTAGTTTCTTAAGGGTTGGAGTCAATGTGGGTTCTTGGACCTAAAATCAAGTGGCGACTCTGGTTTTGAAACCTTTGATTTTTGTTCACTTAACCCATGTGGAAAATAATAAAATATCTAAAAATTTATAGCACAAAATAAATATAAGAGTAAATTTGTCTAGCATAAAATAGATGTTCTTATGGCCTTGAGTTTACAGCTTGAAGGTATTGCCAAATAAGTACCTATTAATATGTATTTTGGAGGAACTAGATTGAATACATACTTAACTTTTGACATAGAAGTATTAAGTAGTTATTCTCATACTGAAACATATAACCTCAAGATTAGTAGGCCTAAGTTTTAATGATTGAACCAGAAGACTTTGGACAAAATATCATTTATGTTGAATTAGAACATAAAGTTTTTAAAAATAACTCAAACTCCCTCACAACAAGGGATAAGTCTAACGACTTGTTGATAAAAATTTTAAAACTCCATGTAACTATTTATTATTATTATTATTATTGATGAAATAATCATGTCAATATATAAAAATTCTTTTTCGCTTGAGATTGAAAACCTGTTTAAAGTAGAAGATTTTATTGAGAGTGGATGATAGGTGTTTAACAAATGTGATTTCTTTACAAGAATTCCAATAAAATTTTTGAATGACTGCCTACGTAATATTTTTAGAGGAAATTGCATTTCAATGTAAGTTTTTAAAAAAAATTACAAATTAGTAGAAAAGTGTATCAATTTTAGTAATTAAAATTAATTTTTTTTTTCATAAATATGTAAATATTTTATAAAAATATCACTGATTTATAATTTTCTTATATTTTTAAAACTGCCTTTGATCCCACCACTCATCTGTTATTGCCATTCTCACATTACTGTGATTTCTTTGCTAGATTAGGTCTTTTTTTTTTTTTTTTTTTTTTTACCCGTCAAACCTATTATGTCTGGCGATCAAATAATGTGCTTTTATGCTTGCTAGTTTAACAAAAGTGCATTATATATATATATATATATATATTGTTACACCTAAACCTAGGTAGTTAGATATAGTTAGATATGATCTAAGATGGCATAAATGTGATGAGAGCAATTCACATTTGAATTGAAGCCGTCATGGCAAATATATTTGCCCAACAAATGAGACCAATCACAGAAAGTGCAAGCAGAGCAATTTGAGCGAAACAAAACTGTTTAATAATAAAGCCCACAACTTGACATGCACAGCCAAATATAAATTTTGTGAATGGTTCCGTGTCCTAACAGTATGTTTGATTAACAGGATTATAATTATGAGAGCCAAGCAAAATTAACCTTTAATTGGCAAACAAGGCACAACCAAGTCCATCCTCAATGGGCCAGATTCAGTCAAAATTCGTTGGACTTTGACAAGTCATTGCCGACTAAATACATGTAAGCTGAAGAGCATGTCAAGTTGAGGTTATCTAGATCGAGCATCTGAGCCGAGTATGTCGGGTAAGTTGACATGATTCCATTACTTGGGCCCAAGCAATCCCTTTCTAAAGAGTATAATGGGGAAATGGGTCCTGACATTGTGATACTAAAGGGCTAAGTTACATAAGAAAGTATCAAGGAGAATGACTCTATAAAAGGGAGACAAGGGAGAAGAAAGAGGTATGTTCTAAAAAATTTGCACTTGAAGAAACAAAAGACTCTTATTTCTACAAAACTAATTTCCTCGTCGGGGTGCTAATTCCAGCACTATCAATCGGAGTTTTTTTTTTTCTATTTCAGGTGACATCTCAATGATCTTTCAAAGGCTTGTTTGGATTAAAAGTGTATTCCAAAATCATTCCCCACAATAACATAGAATTGTGATTATTAATTTATGGATTCACAATCTCATGCTTAATTATAAATTTTATTAATTGGATTATATGTACGCCGAACATTCAATTCAGCAAAATTAGTAAATTTTTAATATTGAGAATGACTGTGATCATAATTTCAAATATGAAAAACAAAAAAACAAAATGAACGATAAATGATTATCTCATTAATTTAATTAGATAATTAATTCTCTACTAATTCATGAGATTATTAATCTTTTCACTATTAATCATGTTAATCAAATAGGGCCTAGATGTTTTGTTTTGTTTGACAAATGATACAAACACATTAGCCTCTCTACTAGGGTAGACATCGGCCCGTTGACCCGCTCTATCCAGTCATATTTTTCTAAGACTTGGTAAGGTTGTTTTAACTCGTAGAGTTGGGCTGGACCAACAATTTCAACCCGAGATATTAATAAGTTGAACTTAACTTTCAATCCAACCTGATCTGATCCATTATTAAATTAATTAATTAATTATTTACAATGCATTAAAATTTTTTTTTTTTATTTATTGAAATCTAAGTTTTATCTTTATTAATTTTATTAAAAATTCGCATTTGTGATGATATGTGATTATATTTATTCAAGAAAAAATTTCAATTTATACACAATCTTTTAATTTATAATAATACCAATATATTTATTTAAAAAACATAATGCGTGATTAAATTTAATTATAGAATGCTTTAAAAAAAAATTTAACATATAACTCAATGACCGAATTTAAAATTTAAAATTATTTTTCAAACCGAAGTTGAACAAACATAAAGATCCGGTGTTAGGGCTGAACCAAACTTAAATAGACACAAAATCCCATCAACCTGACCCGATGTTTGTCCAGCACTACTCTCTACTACACACCATAGCCATACAAAGACAAATCTACCACGTCAAATGTAATTTTTTATTTTATATTTTATTTTATTTTTTGGGGTCCAAGACCAGAAGCGGATTCAGCATTAACAAACCAATCCAAGTGAGGAGGTGGAGTAAACAAACAAACACAAAAGAAAATGAGTGAAAGCCTGTTTCTTTTAAGCTCATGAGAAACAAGGCCACTTTCCCTAAAACCCAACCACTTACATGGAGAATTTTTTGAGTGAAAAACAAGAGTCAAAACTTGCCACTGCTACATAAAATATCATCACATATTTAAGTAGACCAACAACCTAAAAAAAAAAAAACATTAAACTAACAGATTGAATGATACAGAGGGAGTTGGATGGTCATGGACAATTAGGGTTTCTACCAGGACCTCCATAGTAAAAGTAATGACCCCAATCCCCATTGCTTCCAGTCTGGACATCATAGCAGTTAGATTGCTCAGTGAAGGTCCCAATGCCTTTGGGAGCCTTGAGGTTGTTTGAGCTATCAACAACTTGAATATTCCTGAAATAGCTTGACTTCCCAAATCCTTCTTCTGGGAAATGACCGCTACCCATTTGAGTTGATGTGTGTTGGCCGTCTGATTCTGAATTCACCACCTCACCACCCCACTCTATCATCGACGCACTGTCTGCCAAGTATGAGAACAGGAATGATGGCCAGTACCCCAACACATAGCCACTCCCAAATTGCATCCACCAATTTCCCTCTTTTGGGTCCTAAAGATCAAGAAAATTATAAACCCAATTAAAAAATAATAATAATCTGATAACCAAACAAGCAATAAGGCAACTCTAACTTTTCAGTTACTGCACTGTTTTAAGCAGAGTAGCCTTTTTATGGCTTTGTCAAGCCCTGTGAGTGACCAGATCAGTAACCAAAAGAAAATGCCAAAATTCTCAGCAGCATCTGAGAACCAAAATGACCTTTTTTTTTTTATTTTTTTCTAATAAAAAAAGTTCTGCAAGAATAATACCATCTGATAAGACTACTTTGTATGGCCTGGTGATATTGCCAAGGAAAGGATGCAATTTGTGCAAGCAATGATCGTCTCAATTTCCATACTTGAGAATCAGCCAGTTTATTTTATTTTTCTTGGGAGTCTTAAAATAATCTTTAATAACAGTTGACCAATGTCCCAACAAAAGGCTGAGTGGAGTGTGGATTTTACCTTCCAGACAAGAATACTAATATCATATTGGGAATTCCGATAGGCAGAAACAGGGGAGATGCTTGCACCCATTGCTATTTCACTGTTGACTTGAATGAAGCCTGAGCACAGTAGATTATAGCAACCCGTGGCTTGATATGCGTCACTCTACAAATTTAATTACAATGCACATGGGTGAACAACTGATAGCTTAACCCATATACAGTATCATAAATTGTTTAAAAGAAATGGTCTTGGAGAGTCAAGAAGACTCTCTCAAGATGACAAAACAAAACACCCAAAACGAGAGAAATGGGGGGAAATTTTGTTATAGCTTACAGTCCAGTAAGTGAACAATCTTGTGTTGTTATCACCATAGAGATCTGGGCTGACCTGAAATCATGTACATACATTAGTATTATTATTCTACAATCACACCCAATTCCAATCAAATATGTAAACTGAAATGTATTTTTGTTGTCATCTTCTTTATCTTATCTTTAAGGTGGGAGTTAGTTTATCCCAAATTTCATCAGTCAGAAAAAAAATACTCCCCACTCCTATTACTCTTCTACCTGCCAACCAGCTTCAATGCTGTTGAGATCTTCACCAAAAGAACCACCCAATAGCCAAATCTGAGACAAGCTGAACTCATTAGGCTGCTGTATTTTGGGTTCCCAAACATTCATGGTTGATTTTGCTCCATAGTACTTATCTCCTTCAACATAAGCTATTGCATGCTGCCCCAAAGTAATATTAACACAACCAAACAAAAGAAAAAAAATTGCATTTAGTTCAAAGAAATTGAAATCATTACCAATCAAGAAAAATATCAGACCAAAAAAGTTTTTTCTTTCTTTCTCTCTCTTGATTTAACAACCTGATGACCACTTTGGTTGATGAGGTCAGGATCTGCAGACCTAGGCTGAGGGATGCTTCTATGCCTCTTCTTTCCAAATCTTTTGACTGAGCTTGCTCTTAGCACATCTTCCTTCTTTGTTCTTCTGATGGGTATGGTATCTTCAGGGCATCTACCATTCATGTGCCAAAGCTGAGTAATAGGCTTTCCTCTTTCTTTGTTCCCTGTAGAAACCTTTTTCTGATCATAGAGCCCTTCTGGGTGATAGCTTGGCCTCATCTGAAACCCAACCAAACACAAAATCAGGACCAAACAACAATGAAACTCGGCCAAGTAGCTAGATTCAACATCACAACCACCAAGTGATTAACCTGTAATTTGTGGTCTTTGAGGAATGGGTGATCAAATGCTGGTTGATGAGAGATGTGTACACAGTCAATGATATCCCCATCTGGACTCTGTTCAACGATTCAATATTAGAACAAAATTATTGTTATTATTATTAAAATAAAAAATAGAAGAAGAAGAAGAAGAAGAAAAAGAAAAATTACTTGTAATACTCTGATTTAATGTTGGAATACACATTTTGCTTTTGAAAAAAATACCAAAATACCCATTTTGTGTACGAAAAGAAGACCATTATTATGGACAGAGATACCAAAGAAACATCATCCTAAAAATCATTGCTACTCTCCAATAGCCTAAGGTCCCACAGAAGGTAATAATAAACACCCATTTGCAAATTTGCTTGTTTGGAAGGATAGAAAATGTGGGGAAACAAGACAAATCAAGAAAGAGGAATGCACTATACAAAATTACTGATTTGAACTGATTTAACCAGTAGAAAAAGATGAAGAATTAAAAAAAGGGGAGGGCAGAAAACATTAGCTGAGAATCCTTTTTTTCCCCTCATTTTGGTACATTTTCTCAGCAGCCAAACAGAACTTTAGTAGAGAAAAAGGGGAAAAAGAACAAAATGGAAAAAGCACCCATTCGCATTCAACAGATGGAGAGAGAAAATAAAATAAAATAAAATAAAATGAAAAACCGAAATGAGAGAGAGAGAGAGGGACCTTAATGCTTTTAAGGGGAGGTTTGTTCAAGCGGTTTAAGTGCTTCTGGACCTCAAGCTTCTGCCTGGAAACAGGCAACCTACCGGCACAAGATAGCGAGATCAGACCACAAAAGAAGACGAACAAGAAGAAACCCGCTGTTAGTCCCACCCTTCTTCTAGACGGCCCACTGCTAAAATGCGCAGCATCCATGGTACACCACCACGAAACCGAAGAAACCCAAATTGAAAAACCGAAAGACAAAAATAAAAAGCAGCTACACTACACTACACTACACTCTCAGATGTGGAGGTCAGAACTTGGAAAGAAACTCAGAACTCATTCAAATCCACCGTTACCACGCCCACAACACACACAAACAAGACAGTCACAGGACAGACTACTCTCTCTCTCTCTCTCTGAAGCTTATCCTGCGCACCCCCCTCGCCTCAAAAAACACTCCGAGTCCTTTCTCTGGCAGTGGTGTGGTGGGTGGGTGGGAACCCCCCTCTCTCTCTCTCTCTCTCTGTGTCTCTGCTACTTAGCAGAAAATCCAATAAAAAAACTGCCGACGTCTCTCACTGTCTCTCTAAATTCCCTCTCTAAAAAACACACACACTCTCTCTCTCTTGTATTACTCCGCCTTCCAAAATAATAGGCTCTTTTAGGGGAATTCAATTTTTTTAAGTAGTATAATTCCGCCTTCCAAAATAATAGGCTCTTTTAGGGGAATTCAATTTTTTTAAGTAGTATAATTATTATATTTTTAAAAAATTAATTTTTTCAAATTATTCTTTTGATAGTACATGTCAATGTTATAATGGTATTTTTTTTATTCTTTATTAGGTTAAGTTTGACAATTTAAAATAAGTATAATTTTTTAATTTTTTTATTTTTTTTATTATATCATCTTTTTATTTTTTTATATATCTTTTTATAAAAAGATAAAAAGTACATTTATTTAGGTCATTTCAAACAATTCCTTAATTTAAAAGAAGAGCAAAATATAAAATTTATATTATTTTTGTACTTAATTTTTAAACAAAAACTAATATTTTGGGACAATAAAAAATAAAATAAAAAATTATTATTTTGGGACGGAAGGAGTATGATTAATGCTTGGGAGCACTAAAAATAGAGCATTAGAGGAGTACTAATGAAGTGGCTCTCATTTTGATGTAATGGTTGTCTCTTACTCCCTCCCTCCCAAAATATTAGTCCTTTATTCTATTTTTTATTGTCCCAAAATATTAATCCCTCTTCAAAAATCAAGTACAAAAATAATATAAATTTCTTATTTTGTCCTTCTTTTAAATTAATAAACAATATAAAAAATACAATTATTACATTGATATTCTCAAAAAATGTACTATCAAAAGGGTAATTTTAAAAAATTAACTTTTTTCAAATACAATAATTGTACTACCAAAAAAAGTTAGATTCCTAAAAGAGACCATTATTTTAAGACGAAGGGAGTATGTTTTTTTTTTCACATTTTTTAACTTATTAGTTATGAGATTTTTTTAATGGTCTCTATCATTACCATTACGCTACTAACAAGACACGAGGGGTAATAGAAAAGAAATAATAATAATAATAATAATAATAATAATGGAATCCGAATCAAAAGCAGAGAGCGTATAATAAAAAAATATTTGACACTCAAAAAGATAATCATAATTTTATTTATAATATAAAAAAATATTTTAAAATTTTAATTTTTGAGTTTTAAAATCAACTCTAATAAATTAACAGTGAATCTCACTTATTGTGATATAATATTTTGGTCTTGATTTTTTTTCTCTCCTTATCATGTTATTAGTGTTCTATTAAAATATCAAAATTAATACTCTGAATCATTATTGTATAATATAATATGTATTAATTTTTAACGGTAGTGTTACATGCATCAATTAGTGTACTAACTAGTGTATTAATATTAGTTATAACATTATTATTGACTCCACTCATTAATCACTTTATAAATCTCAAAAGAATAATGTTATATGCACCAATTAGTATACTAACTAGTGTACCAATTGATGATGTGACATAATTTAAGAGATTTTTGGTATTTGTAATATAATTAATGAGTGAGGTGAATAATAATGTTATAACTAGTGTTGGTACACTAATTAATACATATAGCACCACCGATCTCAAAATTTTTTAAAATTATGTCACATCATCCATTAATACACTAATTAATATATATAGCATTATTCGATTTTTAATTTATTATATACTTAATATTAATGGATAATTCTTATATTATATTATTATAAATAAATTTATAAATATTAATGTATAAGACCATCTCCAACGCTTCACCAAACCTTGCATTAGATTCGAAATTTGGTGAAAAAGTCACTTTTTGCAGCTTCAATGATTTTATCAAATTGGTATCAAAACAAGAATTCACTAAATTTTTCATCAAAGTGAGAACAGGGGAAAAATTTCACCAATTTACTGTGCGTGACCGTTGGGGGAGACTAACTGGTCAACCCGCGCGGTTGACCAACTGGTCGACCGGTTCCATTGTAAATAAGTTGGTTCAAACAGATCAAAAGGTTCAAACAGATAAAAAAAAAAATTACATTAACCGGTCGACCCCTATCATGCATGTGTGAATCTGTGTGTCGTGTGTGTGTTGTGTCATGCATATGTGTGATGAGTGTATCAGTCGTGTGTGCTGTGTGTGAAGCTCAGTGTCGGTATGCCACGTGCATGTGTCTACTGGTGTGTGAGTTAGAGCATCTCCAACGGTAGTAGGCATTTTACCTATCTAAATATTACTATAAAGTATATATTTTGTTTTGCCTATCAACTGTTTTATGTTTTTACTCCAACCATGCTCTTTATTTTAGCTATTAATCCAAATACTATTAATTTTATAGAATGCCACGTCAACAACAAAGATGGAGGGAAATGATCCTAATGATTGAATACATTTTGCCTAGCGTTGAAGGCTAGCTACATGTAGCTAGTGAATATGAGTTGAGCCAAAATGCCTAATCATATGCCTAGTGCATTGGAATTGAAAAAAATAAATCACACTAGGCATTTTAACTAATAAGTATTATATGCCTAGTGCATTGGAGATGCTCTGGTGTCTTGTGCGTCTATGTGTCTGTTGGGTGTATTGCCGTGTGGGTGTGTGTTATCCTATCAGCCCCTAAAGAGAGAGAGTGAGTCTGGGTCTCTCTCTCCATGCCCGTGTGTGTTGCCCTCTGTGTATTAGTGTGTTGTGTGTGTGAGAGTTGAAGTGGGTCTTGCCGAGAAAGAGAGAGCTCACAGTGGGTGGAGGTAGAGAGAGTGCAGTTGATGACAACCATTAGAGCAGTTTGTATCAGATTGAGAAAATAATCTTTTTTTTACTCAGATTTGGTGAAAATTTTGGTGAACCGTTGGAGATACTCTAAGGCCCTGTTTGTTTCACTGGATATAAAATGGAGGATATAATATGATGTGGGATTTAGTCAGGATATATAATGAATAGAATATATGGATTGGATATTCATGTTTGTTGACTTGATATATAAGATTGGATATATATTATCCATGTTTGTTTTACAAAATATATTGTGGGATATAAACAAGTAATTTATTATATTAAATTCAAAATTTATATTAAATTAAATTCAATAATATATTATTATATTCAATAATATTATATTATATTAAATTCAAAATTTGTATTAAATTATATTATATTAAATTAAATAATATTATTTTAAATTAAATTAAATAAAATAATATTATATTATATTATATTATATTCAATAATATTTATATTAAATTAAATTCAATAATATTATATTAAATTAAATTCAATAATTATATTATATTATATTCAAAAAATATATTAAATTATATTATGTTAGATAAATAAAAAGATAAATTGAACTTTTTAAATTATATCTCAATAAAGGGAATATGATATAATGGAGAGGTGGTGGTATTATATATCCTTTATTTTTAGAAGATATACAATCTCATAATATATTATATCCTTTTTAAAAAAAATTATAAACATGAGATATATAAACCTCACAGAATATAATATCCAATCTCACCATTTATATCCGGAATCAAACAGGACGTAAGTCTCCTGTATTACTGGTGGAAAAATGCACACCCAACCAACCTCGGGACCCACCACCACATTAACCCCCTTCTTTCCCATTTTACCCTCCACGTTCAAAATCACCCCACCATCTGCTGTTACCCCTCTCCAACTTAAATTCCCACCCCCATAATATAATTATTCATTTATTCCTAATTACTCACCAAAAATTATGGAAAGTAGGAAAAAAAATAATTTTATAATGATTTTTGACTTCTTTTAAAAAAATTATAAAAAAATGAAGACATAATTTAACTAAAATAAATTAATAAGTCAATCTCTTTTTTAGTCGTCAAAATAGGCCATAGGCTCGTACAAATGATATATATGTCATGTATTTGGATATACCTCTCAATGTTCCACCTTAATCATAATGCCTAATTTTTTGTGATTGCATCTATTCAAATTTTATTTATAAGATTTTATAATGAATCATACAACTCCATTATTAAAATAAAAAAATGAATGTGCTTTAAATATGGCATATTTTGATAAGTTGGTTAAAAGTTAATTTTTTAATTTTTTTAGATTATATCACATCTTTATTTTTTTACATACTTTACAAAAAGAAAATGAGTGAGAGCACTAATTAGTGCTATCACTAATGATGTGGTAGTGGCCCCACCATGAATGATTTGATGTTTTGACTTTGGTGTTGTATTTTTTTTCTTTTTTTATTCAGTGTCATGTCATTAGTGATCTTTTTAGACCTCCAAAATTAGTGGTCTCTATCATTGTTGCTTAATATTTTACTTTCTCATAAATAAAAATATGCAACTGTTTACTTAGGCTTCGTTTGTTATTGGCTTTTTGACTAAAAAATCACAAAAGGCAAAATAGACTAAATACTCTAATAAGATAAAATGTTACATCAAAATCATAATCATTCTACTTTTCTACTTGCAAAAATAAAAAAATAAAAAACTAAAAAAATCAAACCAAACAAACTTTTTACTAGTCTCAAATTAAAATAGTTAAAAAATCAATTACCAAATGAAAACTTTTAATTTTAAGATTTTTCTAAATGCATTACAACCAGTTAAAAAGTTGATTTTTTTTTTATTTTTATTTTCCCCTCTAATCTAGGGATAAGAACATCAGCAAACATAGATAATCAAGGTGTATGGATGATTGTTGATGATCAAAGCCTAGGCTCATTAGCATGGCTTAAGGCCTCAAACCACTGGGGTGACATTCTCTGGTTAAAATGATTGAATGAATAAATTCAAAACTTGTTTGGAAATTAATTATTTTAGTGATTTATTTATTTTTTATATATAAAAAAATAGAGAGAGTAATAAGACAATTTCTAGTGATTTTTTAATTAAAATAACCTATTAACAAATAAGGTCTCAATACATCACACATCTTTATTAATTCTTAATTTTATTTCAATTCAAA